CCATCAACACTTCTATCGAGAGCAACATCGGTGGCGGTTTTGCCTATGGATGGGCAGAGAGCTTAACATGTATCTGATGGTCGTCGTATTGTGTCTCGAGAGGATCTATTTGAGTTTCTAGTGGGAACGGATCTTTGAACATGGACGGCGCATTCAGTCTGTCTGCTTCGCAAGCAGAGGCTTGCACGCCAGCTTCCAATGAGGTCTCCCGTACTGATGGTGTCACGTAGTTGGGTTCACAGAATTACCTTTTTTCGACATACAATAGAGCAGAAACTTGGTTGGAATTATAAGCAGATAAATAGCCCGGTATGGGGAAAGAGACGACGATGAATTCAATGCGATTCGATACCAGGGAGGCATCGCACATTAATGGGGTGATATCTGTCTCACACTAAGTGCCGTGAGTTACGGCCCGTAACAGCCATCAGAATGATGTCTGTACGTATTCCGAGAGATGAAATCTTTCAGTCAAGTGTTTTCCCCCTCATTGTTCAGTCAGAATGCACTGCATTCACTGCACAACCCTTGTTCGTTCGGGGAGGGGGACGAAATTCGAGTCTAACCTAAATCATAGCATACATACACGATGGCATTATAAGTCCTATACCATCTCTGGGCTCAAGTGTGTTCCTTCCGAGTGGCATCTTTGACAACTGGTTTGGGAGCCGGTATTGCGGATACCTCTCGTAGTTTGCCGATATTCCTTACATGGAGTTGTTCTGTCGAGCGTAGGCCGCATCGATGAGGGTTGATGAAATGACAAAAAAAGGATCTTTGTGTTTGGCATGTTGTTGTTATTGCTTAGACCACTACTCTCTCGCGGATGGCGAGTCAGCAGTCGAGGATACAGAATCCTATGACTAGCACTCAATCAGGCCTTGGTTATTGAACAACTACAAAACATAATGTAAACGCAGATAACTCGTTTGCTAGACAACTCTGCTGCTTGTTCGTCTTCATTATGTAGTTTACTAGCCGAAGAATCCAATCTTCCCTGAACCCGTCGTAGAACTAATTAGCACACGACCATCATCGTCAATAGGCTTCATCTCTGACCTGAATACAAAGACCCTCACTGCGACTTCACTCGGGAACTCACTCATCATCAATCGAGTTGGGGTCTCTCCTCGTTGCTGAGTTTGCTGCATCAGGATGCTTACTCTGCCCAGCAGTGGTGCTCGTCACAGCACTG